TCACGCTCACACTCTTCACGCTCACACTCTTCACGCTCACACTCTTCACGCTCACACTTTTCCTGCTCACACTCTTCATGCTCACACTCTTCATGCTCACACTTTTCTTTCGGCCAACATTTCTAAAAATATTTTTATATTGGTCTCAAGTAATATTCTAATTTTCTGAGATGCTGAATTTGTTTTTCATTAGTTGTCAGTTCTAATCATCAACATTAAAAGAAATAAACATTTGAAATAAATCAGTGTGTGTGTGATGAAGGAATATTATTTACAAGTTTCACTTTTTGAATGGAATTACTGAAATAAATCAACTTCATCATATTCTAATCTTAGGACCAGCAGTATGGGGGAGTGTACGTCTGTGGGGGCAGTGCATGTCGATGAGGGGCGTGCACATGTGTGGTAGGTGCGCACGTCTGTGGGAGCGTGCACGTCTGTGTGTGCACATGATAATCACACCTGATCATCATCCCATTGATTGAAAACAGCTGACTGTAATTTCACCTTCAGATTAATGATAATCCCAGACGCTCACAAACTTTTACCTCTCTGGATTATTTCCCTCCATAAATAAATGATCCAGTATAATAGTTTTGTCTCGGTTGTTTAACTGGGTTCTCTTTATCTACTTTTAGGACCTGTGTGAACATCTCAAGATGTTTGAGGTCAGATTGATGCAGAAATATAAAAATTATAGCGTCAAACTTTCAGCTCCTCTCTAAGAAACTGGTTCAGAAAAATGATTTTACACATTTTCTCTCATCAGATTTTCTTCTGGAGTATCCAAAGTGAAACAGGAAGTGACATCAGAGGGGAAACGCTGAAAATAAGAGCTTGCTGCACACGAGAATAGATAACAGCTGTGATTCTTGATCCAAGACCTTATCAATATGTTCTCTCTCCAATAATCATTGATGATTACAAACGCTTGTTCTAACATTCTAATGTGGATCATAGATCAGGTTTATTGGAGCTTTTCACAGGTTTTCAGAGCCCACAGAGGCTGAAAGGACCCGACAGGAACTGAAAGGATGGAAAAGGTGCTGAAATGAGCCGATAGGAGCTGAAATGAGCTGAAAAAAGCTAAAAAGAGCTGAAAGGAGCTGAAATAAGCTAAAATAAGGTAAAAGGAGCTGATAGGAGCTGAAAGGAGTTAAAAGGAGCTGAAAGGAGCTAAAAAGAGCTGAAATGAGCTGAAAAAAGCTAAAAGGAGCTGAAATAAGCTAAAATAAGGTAAAAGGAGCTGAAAGAAGCTAAAATAAGGTAAAAGGAGCTGAAAGAAGCTAAAATGAGGTAAAAGGAGCTGAAACAAGCTGAAAAAAGCTAAAAGGAGCTGAAACAAGCTGAAAAAGCTAAAAGGAGCTGAAGGGAGTTAAAAGAGGTAAAAAGAGCTGAAAGAAGCTAAAAGGAGCTGAAAGAAGCTAAAAAGAGCTGAAAAAAGCTAAAAGGAGCTGAAAAAAGCTAAAAGGAGCTGAAAGGAGCTGAAAGAAGCTAAAAGGAGCTGAAAAAACTAAAAAGGATCTGAAAGGAGTTAAAAGGAGGTTAAAAGGAGCTGAAAGGAGCTGAAAGAAGCTAAAAGGAGCTGAAAAAACTAAAAAGGATCTGAAAGGAGTTAAAAGGAGGTAAAAAGGAGCTGAAAAGGACCTGAAAAAAGCTAAAAGGAGCTGAAACAAGCTGAAAAAGCTAAAAGGAGCTGAAGGGAGTTAAAAGAGGTAAAAAGAGCTGAAAGAAGCTAAAAGGAGCTGAAAGAAGCTAAAAAGAGCTGAAAAAAGCTAAAAGGACCTGAAAAAAGCTAAAAAGACCTGAAAGGAGTTAAAAGAGGTAAAAAGAGTTAAAAGGAAGTAAAAGGAGCTGAAAGAAACTAAAAGGAGCTGAAAGAAGCTAAAAGGAGCTGAAAGGAGTTAAAAGGAGGCAAAAGGAGCAGCTTACTCGTTGCTCTTTTCCTTTTGCCTGTCAGCAGGAAGGGAACAGCCCCAGCTGTGCTTGAAGCCTCCATCTGTCCTGGTCTCAGTTCTGTCCAGGGCTGAAATCAGAAAGCAGACTCATCAGTGCTCAGAGTTACAGAACCACCCGGTCCAAACCAGCTGGCTTCAGGAGCCAACATGTCCGAGCTGAAGGACCAGGAGGAGGCTCGTGTCTCTGCAGACATGTCTGACCCTTTCTGTTGGACGTCATCGGTCCCACTACAGTTTACGACAGCACTCAGAGTGGACCCATAGGACCAGAACCAGACCGAGTATCACAGGAAGGACCATGGGAGCAACATGGAGATAAAAACATCATTTTCAGAAACCTGAGGAGCTGAACGCAGCAGAAATCAAACTCTGACTGGATGTTCGGTGAACCACAGAGCAGCTGCAGCTACAGAACAAGGACGGTCCATTTAGATGGGTCCAACAGGAGACCCTCTGTGGTCCAACTGGAGTGGTCCAACTGGAGACCCTCAGTGGTCCAACAGGAGACCCTCTGTGGTCCAACAGGAGACCCTCAGTGGTCCAACAGGAGACCCTCAGTGGTCCAACTGGAGACCCTCAGTGGTCCAACAGGAGACCCTCAGTGGTCCAACAGGAGACCCTCAGTGGTCCAACTGGAGACCCTCAGTGGTCCAACAGGAGACCCTCTGTGGTCCAACAGGAGACCCTCAGTGGTCCAACAGGAGACCCTCTGTGGTCCAACTGGAGACCCTCAGTGGTCCAACAGGAGACCCTCAGTGGTCCAACAGGA